GAGGATTGGGGTTCAGCATTCCTGCAGCCCTGCAATGGAGCTACTGCCACTTAGCATTTCTGATCTTTGGGGTTTTTTTTTACCCTTCAGTTTCTAGCTTGTTGTTTGCTATTGTTGCCTGTTCCAGCTTTCCCATTTTTTTAAACCATTGTGGAACAGCATATTCCATATGGACATCACTCATAATGACAAGTATCTTCATCAGTGGTTGCACAACAGACAGAGGAAAGCCAGCTGAGGACAGCAATATCTCTGAGCAGGACATTTCTTGAGCATTCTCTGAAGTTGTCTGGAAACAGATTTTTCATATTCTGTGATATCTCGCTTTGCAAACATAGGCATTTCTTGCTCATTAAAATTTTGTTGCATCAAACAGCATCCTTCTGGTTTCCCTTCCTCCCTTCATCCACAGCCCATCCTGGGTGATATCTTCCCACGGACAGGACCAAGCTGCTAACTGAGCAGTAGTACTGCGGAACATTATAGCACAGACAGAATTTGCACAATGTCACAAATGTTTCCATAATGACACTCCTGAGTAGCAGCTTTCCATCCTTTGAAGAGATGAAAAATTTAAAATAACATAGTATCTTAACTCCTGTTGTTTAAACGTGATTTCAGTGGGGCCTTTCCATGAGCATCCAAACAGTGCATTGTGGGTTTCCATGTTGAGCTCAGCATGGCCACAAATGCTGCCAAGGTGGTGCCCAGCAGAGTACTTTCCAAATGTAAATTTGCACCTATAAATTCACAGATACAATGCTCAGTCTACAGCACTGACATTGCTCAACGGTACTTAAACTGCAGACATCCCAAGCAGCTAATACTTATTCCTCCTTGCAGTCATCAGCCTTTCCACCCCAGTAAGAAAGAGGAATAATCCCTGTTCCCTCTAAGAAATAACTGTAGTACAGTAAAGTATCAGGAGCAGCAGAGACTCAGTGCTTGTAAGCTTCTGGTAATATAGCCAATTCAAATTGTAATGAAGCTGCAAATGAGGCACGTTCAGTGCTGTGCAAAGAAAGAATAAAGCCAATCCCTGCCCTCAAGTGCTTTCAGAGCAAAGAGACAAAACAAGCAAAGCATGAGCATCATTGCTCTTTTCCTTTTTTTGCAGATAAGCATCTTTCATACAGAGATTAAAGGTTGTGTTTTTCATACTGCTAAAAACATGAGTAAATATTTTCCCCAGGTGACAAAGGAATCGCTTGGCAAAGCCCAGAACTGAATTCCTCTCTCCAATATCCCCACCTAACAATTGACTTCCCATCTCTGTTTCCAGTTTTCTCTTCCACTGGTTAGCTTCAGTTTTACTTTTCACTGTTACTGCCATCTCCTTTAGGAAAAGAGGAAAATAGCAGCAGATAAGGAACACACCGTGGAATATTCCTGTCTGTCTCTCTGCTCTGGTGTCAGGAACACTGGCATATATTGGGACGGGGAGAATTTCAGTAATTCTAACTTCCATGTTAATATTCAAATTTACCTGTAATCTGGGTCAGTACTCTGACTGCTCTGTGTGAGTCAATAATGATGGTGTTTAAAATTGAAATATCCTTTTTTTTTTCAGACAGAACTATGAAAATGAGATAATCAGTCAAACCAACATGTTTTCATGGACTCCTGCTTATTTTATTTGAAAGACTGTACATGGCATGGCCAGTAGTATATAGGACATAGGAAATTTAACAGATCATAAAATCGTGTAATCATGGAATGGTTTGGGTTGGAAAGAACTTTTAAAGATCATCTAGTCCAACCCCCTGCCATGGGCAGTGATGTCTTCCACTAGATCAGGTTGCTCAAAGCCCCATCCAAACTGACCTTGAACAATTCCAAAAAATAGCGACCTAAGGATTCAAGACATGGCTTATTATAATTTGTTTTCTAAGTAAAACGGGAGAATGAGCTAAAAAAAAGACTCCTTTCTTCAGTTTTCTCTAACAGAGCTTTTTATTTAAAACATCTGAAACATTCAAGTTTAGATCCTCCAATTGCAAAACTGATAAAAGGTAGACTGCGAGTAGTCACTTTGCAAATTCCTCCAGAATCAAACCCTGGAAGGAAGCTGGCATTCAGCAGGGCATATTTCTGGTTCTGTTATGTTAAGCCATTGTGCCTGTAGGCTATTTACCAGTGGTGTGAGTCTGATCCACATAAAAAATCATTAGGCTCTAGCTGTGACTGAATATTTAACGAATCCACCTATTTAAATCAAACATGAAAGGCTTAACTCCCACAGATACATGTCCTGAACTGTAATTTAGTGCGTGGGGAGGTCATATACTTCTGGCTGTGTTTACAACATCTTTATGAATCAACTTCTGATTGCACCTCATTTACCAATAGTGTTACCTTGTACTAGGGTATAAACACATGCTCAGAGCACATTTAGTTGAGAGAGGAGAGTGTAGTGACCTCTATAGTTCAAGATGAGACAGTGTGATTTCATTTATTTTTGGTTCCTGTTCTTGGTATTTGTTTGTTTCCTGACAGGACGAACAGGAGTCTGAGTTGCTGGTGCTGTCAACAGCCTGGACCTCCCATGGCTGGCCAAGAACTGTGGGAGCCCTCGCAGTTCGCAGTCCGATGTGGTCCCCATGTTGCAGTGGCCAGCAAACTGTCAAGATCTCAGCACTGCTTCCAGATTATGAGGACAAACAGCAGCTGGTGTTCCTCCCATCTTGTATCTGCACACAGTGTGACCGGAGATGCGTTGGGTCTGCCAGTGAAATTAGTTCTCTTATCTTCTACTGTGTTCGTCTGTGATTACACTTACATGAAAGTGTAATCCAAGTTCAGTCTGCTGTGCATTTGGGAAGTGGCAGATTGCTGATGGTCAGGAGCAGTACAGAACAATGGAAGGCAGTTGAAGAACTGTCCTTTGGTGTTTGCTCTGGTCTACGGTCAGAACATCCAAATTCAGGCTGGCAGATGAGAATCAGCAATGAAAATTTTGCAGTTCCTGCTCTCAAGGGACAGTTCCTGCAGGCCACTTGACCAAATAATGGTGTTGTGGAGTGCTATGTCTTCAAACACCATTCAAAGTCAGTAGAGTCCATTGACCAATTAAGGTATACTACAGCGATCTATTTATAGTCCAAGCTCTAACTTCTGGCTCCCACGTGTGCCTTTTCTGTAGTATAACAAGTACGTAGGCAGAGCAGCTTCATCCAGGTATGCTGACAACACTCACACTGAAGGATGTCTGATCGCACCCTTTCACCACAGCGTGAGAAACTGGCTGCTATTGCAAGTCCAGCACAGCAGTGCAGCAAGATGGGCTGAGAAGAGGATCGATGTAATTCTACTGTTCTGTGTGGGATGAAAACAAAAATCTTAAAAAGAGGACTTCTGTAGTGATCAACACCATAGTGATGTGTCTTCAAAATAACTGGTCTGGTTGCTTTAGCGCTCTGCGTAACTGCACAAATAAGTACTTTTTTTTTGACAGCATCCTAGTGATTCCAGGAACAATCGTGCCATGCACTGGAGATGGAGGAAGCATGAAATCAAGACAAAGCCTTCAGACACATCCTAACAAGAAAGACGTGTTGCCTGGCTACCTCGTTGTGGCCTCATCTCTTTTCAGCTAGTTTTACAAGTGAAGTCACACCTCCAAACCCTTTGAAGTTATGACCACATACTTGATCCTGTCCAAACAAATTTCTGCAGCGTGAGGCCGGGGTTTGCCTGGAATTAGCCTGCTCAAGTATTGTGAAGTTTGTCAGTGCATTGCTGGTATTCCTAGGAACAGCAGCTTCACAAAGGGAAGAGCAGAAGTGCTGAGCAGTGTCTGAAGTCTGGTCCATCAGAGTCCTGGTTGGCATTGCAAGCACGGGATGGGGTGAATGCCTCTTAATAGCTGTACTGATGCTATGCAAATTGCATCACTAGAAAAACAGCTCTACAAGACATACTGAGCAGCCTGGAACTGCGTTGCTGTTGAACAAAGAAGTGCTGAACATGTTCAGTATCTACAGTCATCTCTGAGTAGCCTGAAATTTAGGTGTAAGGTTCCTGAGATGGAAAATATTATTTGGCCTCAATGATATATGTTGCTCTGCAGGGAAGACTCAAGAATTATTCTTTTATTTCTTTTAACTGGGGCTGCCAAGAATTTAGAGGTATTAAAGGGAAAGTTCAAAGAATTCACAGAATTTCAGCAAAGATTTGCCATTCACTTAAAAATTCCTGTGGCTATTCAAAGGAAAGTTCTGCCAACAGATAGTTACATGCTATTTTTAAACAATGAAAAATATCATAAAACCAACGTATGGGGATGTAATTAGATTGGAGCCTCAGGCAAGTAGTGAGACACAAGGAAGATCTTCAAAGTTACTTGTGCATTTAACTTTCTTTGCTAGCATGTAGCAAATACACACTGTAACCACACCTGTCCTGGAGGAAATTTCAAAATTAGTTGTAAGGGTTACAAAACATGTTTATCCAGCATGAAATTACTTTTGTGCAGAAGGCAGTCATTATGCTTGGTCCTGCTTAAAAGGCCTGGTCATCTTCCAACTTTAGGTGTTGAAAGAAAGCAGATACTGTTTTGTTCTACTACAGAGATTGATGCTCACCCAGAATGGTATATAAACAAAAAATGGTGGACAAAAAAAGACAAGAAAGCTCAGAATTTTGATGCACAACAATTTAATGAGAAAGTAAGAAGTAAAAAATCTTATTGAGAATGAAAATCACAGGGAAAATATTGCCAGGGTCTCGTTAAAGGCTGCAAGCAAAGAATTGCTCCAGGGCTATGCATTCCACATATACTGCTCTTTCTTTTTCACGGCATGGGCAGACTTACACAATCTCATCCCACTTTCAGCCACAAATCATCAATATAACTAATAAGAGGCCTTTATTATCAGGAGCCACTGGAAAGAATAGCCAGAGAACTAAATTAAATCGTTAGCCTGAGAATTACATGTAAGCGTGATTTTCAGAGACGCACAGTTCATGCTCCAGGAAAGCAGTGCCAGTAACAGGGTTGTGGAGGCACATCTTCCTCCAATGTAGGTGATTGCTCATTGCTCTTTATTCACAGCATATTTAACACGGTCTGCAGCTCCCAAAACCATAACCACTGGATCCATAGGAAGAATATGACCTCCCATAATTGTACAAGCTCCTAGAGCCATAAGAGCCACTGGGACCCAGAGAGCTCATGGATCCAAACAAGCAACCAAAGCTGGATGGTGCTGAGCTGCCCACAATGCTCTCCTGAGGGCAGGAGCTGAGAATGGGTCCTGGGAAGGTGATGACCACGGGTGGTGGGTAGATCACAGCTCTTGAATCTCCACAGGACGTAACACAGGGCTGGCTCCAGGCATCTGCAATTGGCTGCGGGCAGGTCACTTCGCAGGGTGCGAGGCAGCGGGAGCTGATCATCTGTCTGTAGGAAGACATCTTCTGGGAATGGAGATAACTCTGAAACACACAACACCAAGGCAACACAAGGCTGAAAGCTCAGACACCAATATAATGCAGATTGTGCTTGGAAGAGAAAGAATGAAAGATAGCAAGAAGACCAGAGGAGGCTGAAGATTCCAGTTTTGTGTCAGCAGCCACGTCCCTTTTCTCATCTTCTCATGCCCTCCTCCTCTCTCCCGGAACAATCTCCATTTCTTTTGGCTCCTAATTATGGAACCAATTTAATTCTTAAAAACATCCTTAACAAGCAAAGAAATTGTGTACTTGAACTTGAGCTATCCCCCTATCCTTTACCATTTCTCCTTTCCACCATTCCCTTTTGAATCTGACTTACTGTGACACTTGACCACTTCTTTTATAA